ACACATGTATGGAAGAGTCTGTGCAGGCGTGTGGGAGCGTGCCTGGTGGTGGGGAGGGAGGAGTGTGAAGTGTGCCCAGTTGAGGTTTGTCCTTAGCTAGCAGCCACATGGGCTCATCCCCGTGTGTGTCTCGACTCCAAGTGCACATATGGAAACACACACACACATAGCATTTTTTTGCAGCGCCTTAGACACAACGACTCGCTGTACCTTCTTGTTTAAGGATAGCTGTCAGAGGATGATGGCTCCGGTTCAACACTGCATCAGGTTCGCACCGAGCGCCCCGACAAAACAGAAAAAAGGCTAAAGCTTCCCGCTCTTCCTCTCCCTCACCGATGCTCCTTTTTTCTTGCTTTTTCTCTCCATCCTCTGTGATTGTCTCTGACTTCCTCCCTCCATCACTCTCCCTCTCGCGCTACAGTTCAACACTGATTTGACTGCTAGCATAATTTTGCAGTGGAGACTATTTGCAGATGCAGCAGAGTTATCAATCCGAACAGACACACAATCCGGGTCCAATGTCACTTCTCCTCATTATGTTAATGGTTAATACATGCAAATGAAAACATGCCGGCAATTTGATTTCTTTGAAGGTAGTTTGCATATTGTCTTAGCCGTAATGATGGTACACTTTCTCCTCGGCTTCGATTTATGCAAGTCTWGTTAGTTCATTTTTATCAGCTCTGAGTTCATTTCTAGGGCTACTGGAATGTGATTTCCCCTTCCCCTCACTATTTAGCTAATTAGGATTCAGGTACCATAAGCAGATTTTTCACGCTATTGGTGTTTTTCTTAATTAAGAAACAAATGAATTCTCCCCAGCAAAATAGATGGAACAACGGGATAGGGTGCCAGGGGCCAGATGTGGCACTTCTTAATTAGAAGTCACTCCATTGTCTGAGGTTTTTTAATGAAGCCCCAATCTAAATGGATATCAAAAAAGCTTCTAGTGAAGAAAAAAAAACACACACACTGGCCATTTAAAATAATAAGGAAATAAAGATAATGAAAGACAAAAGATATGTACTGGCAGCCCCGGCTCACACCTCCAGTTTAGTGCATTCGCTGCTCCCGTCACCTCTGGACGAGGCCTATTAAAACAGCTCGATCCCTCGCCGGCCCCAGCCTGCCTGCAGCCATGTCTAATGCTCTGCCAAGCCAACAGTAGAGCACTCTCTTTTCAACTTCTCATCAAAGGTGGAAGTTTTATTGCCCCGTGGATTGTTATCAACTGTTTCTAAAAAACTGTTGCAGCTGTCAAACTCCTGTCTGAGGCGGCCAGCGGAGTCCACGCTTATCATATCAATGAATGATTCACAACTGGTGGAGGTGGAATAAATAATTAAGGAACAAAGTTTATAGTTAGAAATTCATCTCGGTCAGCCTGGTGACTGAAGACGATAGCATCGCGGCTGTTTTTTGACTGAAATAAAACCCTTAGTGTGGCCGCGCGTGTGCTGCCAGCTCCATCGGTTCCTTCTTCAGACAGCATGGCTTAGGAGCTCCCAGAGGATGGGTCGGTGCCCACTGATACCGGCCCAGCAACCATCTTGTTCAGGCCAAGCATCCGTACACCCAGAGGCTGTGCCATCAATGCCATGACTTGTGCCAGACTGGATCCTACCCAGCAATCCATTTCAAAGGCTGTTTTTTTTATAGATCAGGTATGCAGTGTGATTTTCCTTTCCCTTTGTGATGTGCCGTGTCAAAGGCGAGCTAGGCTGACTTTAAAGTCATATACTAGTTTTTTTTTTTCTGCCTTTCATTTGAGAAGGAGACATAATTGATTTTTGACTTTCTAAATGTCAAGTTGGAAGAGATTAGAAAAAAAAGGCCAAAGTCCTAAAAATCAATCAGCAGTACAGTCATGTTGATCTGTTTACTCCTTAAACTAAGGATAACTTAAATATGACCCATATCTGAGTAATCATCAGAGTATTTYGACATTCTTACAGATTCAATCCTTAGCCTTTTTATGTACCGATTGCTTCTTTGGAGGTTTGAAAATTAAACACTGATTTCTAAACAACTAGTAAATACTGTTACTTCTCTACAAAATTACCATAATCCTCTGCTCGTGTGCTCTCTGTCATTCAGAGCATTGCCTATTTATTTATATCTGCCAGTGAGATTAGAGGGGGAGATTATTTAGCCCAGACACATGAATAGCGATCAAACACAACAGGATAATGTAAGTCTTGCAGTGATTGCTCAGCTATTTTTGAAATCTACCATTGGTGTATTAGAACAATGCAAGTGGCTGTGCTCCATGCAGTGTGACAACAATAATACAAAATCCCCAGGGAGTGAACTGCATGTAAACACTCCAGATCAGCACACTGGCACAAAGTGTCCTCTAATGCAGCAAAAAATTAGCTTTGATCCCGTCAGGGGSCGCAGCAAAGTGGGATGACATCACAGACGTGCATTTTGAGACGCGTTAGGGTCTGTTACCTGCATAAAAACAAGCCTACATCTATATAYAGGCTCTGTTAACTTTAACCATGAGTAAACAAGCATTACCACACTAATTACTCTAAAACAAGAATGTTGACACAAGTATGACACGCTGTCATCCACATGATTTATGAACTTCATAATGACAGCTGAAAAGTCTTTTATTTATTTTATTTTATTTTTTTTTCTTTTGCTTTTTCATCTGAGCAAGACAGGTTTGAAGGATTCTCTGCTCCGGCCAATTATCTGCAGCAGGACAGAGAAACCTGCCAATCACGTGTTCAGAGTGAATACAGAAGAGTGCACAGCAAAAATACTGACTGTTAAAGCTTAAAAAAAAGAAAACTCTAAAATGAATACATCAGCTAACGGCTTCGACCCACAGTTTTGACAAAAGAAACTTCGCGAAGGGAATTTATTTGAAGCTGCAAATGAAGGGACGGATCTCAGAACCAGTTGGCTAATTATTTATCCTGCTGGTTTTATGGCTCTCATTAATTTCCCTCCCCTCTCTCTTTACCTTCCATTGAAAGTCTGAAGTCAACGTGCATCTGGTGCTGATAACGCCGAGGTCTCCGCAGCCTCCCTTCCTTCCAACACACACATACACCTCTGCCAGAGAAAAGGAGCAGCTCTGGCACACACGCACACACACACGCACACGCACGCATGCACGCACGCACGCACACACACACACACACACACACACACCCTTCCTGGATGATGCCATTAACAACAACAATCTGTGCAGTAAATCCACAAAGATGCACTTGCTCCAGAACTAAAGCCATGTGATGGTGTGTTTTGAAAATCACCTGAAATTTAGTGTGTTAACGACAAGATGTGGGAAGTGGTGCAGAGCAGATTTTAAACATTAAATCCATGTTTGGAACACAAACAGTTGCAATAAACACCTTCACCACATACGCACTTTTGTTTAAACAAAATGTATACATTGTAATAATTGTGTTAAGGTTATTGAACTGGGTTTTCTGCTGGCACTGGTTGCACCTTTCTCCCTTTTTCTCTGTCAATTTCTGTATCTAATCTCCCCCTCTCCCACCTTCTGTCACTTGTTTTTAAGGGTGGGGGTGGGAGAGGACACTAAGACTGGCCCATCCTTAGTTCTTTGGTGAGATCACACCCCAGCAGGTCTAAACCGAGGCTATCTGCCACTCCTTAATGGCCCAGTCTGGCTTCTTGCACCCTCCGACCCTCCCATCACTACCCACGTCCTCCTCCGCCCGGAGCTGTCCATCACCCGGTGACAACAGAAAAGTACARCCCCTCATATGGAGGAGCCTCAATGAACCAAACATCCAATTTGAGCCATTACTTCAGAGAAGTGAACCAACAGAGACGCCACACTGCTCACATTTTCAAAAGCAGCAGAGACACAGAGTGGGCGAGAATTGTTAAAAAGCAAATATTGCCGTCTTCTGTTGACTTCAAACAGCAGTCACATGGCAGAGACTACCTTAGCAGTAAAGCAGCGCAACACGAGAGAAAGGGCCGAAAGAACTCTTGATGCTTGCTTTCATGTCTGTCTTTACAGGGAACCCAGAGCGCTTATTTCTCTTCTGCAATGCAAATAAAGTAAACAGAGTACTTTCTGTAGTCTTGTGAAATTGGAAAGTTGCAACCACAACAGCCAGTTTTTTCTTTCTTCTGTTTCAGAATTAGATCTGTAAATTCCACTGAAACTTTAGCAATTTATGTTTTTCTTAAAAACAACAAAAAAAGTAGCTGTTAAAAGTAATCAAAAATGAAGATTTTAGTGCCGAAAGCTGAAGAAACACATATGTAGTTCAGTGAAACTCACACATACACACAAGCACATACAATGTAATGGAAAAGAAAACTTAACCCAGTTAAGTTCTGTTTCCGTTTCCACAATGGCCCAGTAAGGCTCTCCTGCAGTCGTTTTGGACTATCAGTGCTCAGGGGTCATGGGCCTGGCCAGTCAAGATAAAAGAAACCCTGATGAAATGAACCATGTGGGAGCAAAGAGGGATGCTCTCTACTGATGGAAGTCACTCTGGAAGGTGAGACTGTAGCAGTGAGGTATTGACCCGAGTGACCCGGCTCACTGCTGGAGCTCCAGTACTCTCTGCAACACTCCTATCTATAAAGAACCAAATGCTTTGGAACCAAACTGGTTCAACAACAAAAACTGACAGAACATCTGTTATACTGTTTATACTTTATGACTATTACATCAAACTGATTAGGTTATTAAATTCAATTCATTTGAATATCATCCAAATATATGAATGCCATGGTACAAAAGAACACATTGTAACACACACACATACAAGTTTGTATTTCTATTAGTGCCGTGTATTGACTTCCATTTCTTTCTGTAGCCTAACCCTTACTCTAAAGTACACCACTAACCCTAACACCCCTGCCCCCTCCTAAACCTAACCCCTCACCTATAAATTATATGCCACCATATGACTGGGCTTTGGTCYCCAAAAGGTCTGCTAGTCCTGACAAGAAATGTGCTTTAAAAGGTCCTAAAATATAACAAAAACAANCACACACACACACACACACACACACACACACACACACACACACACACACACACAGAAATCAGCACTTCAGCATATTTTAAACTTTAAAAATCTATTCCACCAAATGTTAATCTACTTTTAAACAACCCATTTGTTAAGATCAAAAGCTGGAAAAGTAAAATAAAATAAATTTTCATGGCAACCAAGACTGTGTTGGACTTTAGTTAAATGATAAATGAAAAAAAAAAAGATTTTAAAACCACAAAAAAATCTCCATGTTGTTTTTAATGTGTACAAAATGTGCAGTTTTCTCCGGTTGTTTCTGGTGTAGAGTGAGTGACACCTCTGTTTCCTCTGGTTGCTGCTAGCTGTAAGCAGAGTAACCAAAGAGGTGATAAGTTTGCCCCCCATTACAAGTCTGTCTGTTTTAAAAATTTCCAGTTAAAAGAAACATGATGAACTTTTATTTCAATGGGTAAAAATAAACAAATAAACACAAAATATGGTTTAAAAACTTTACAAAAGAAAAAATTTAATTGGAAAAAAATTTCTGCAACAAGCTACTAGTGAATTAACAAGCCAACATCAACCTCACAGACAAAACCAACAGGGATGAACTAATAATCAGTGCAAAAGCGGTTCTAATTTAAAAATATATTTAAATTTATTTATTAGAAACTTTTATTTGTTTGTATAGGTTTGCCAATCTTATCTATTAAAATAAAAACAGCCATCTGACTTGTTGATTTGAAAAGCAGCACTCTCACTCTCCGTATGTGTTTCAGTGTCCAAATTTTAAATTACATTGGATAAACTTCAAAAAATGCAATTATAACAAAACGATCACTATAATAACAAAAGTAATGTGGTATTCTTTTAGCAACAGTATTATTTATAACTGCATCATTTTTTAATAATCCAATTAGTTTTATTGCACTATTTACTTTTAGTTTTTAATTTTATATCATCATAAAACTGTAGTATTTTTGCTGAATGTTATCATACAGTTAGAATCTCATACCCCGCCATAATTATAACATTAAAATCCTTATTTTTATTTATTTTATTTTTTTAGCCACTTCAGTAGAAAACAGAACTGAATGTTAGATTCTTAATTTTGGCATCATCAGTGACTTTTTTATAGTAAAGAAGAAAAAGAGAAAGTAGAAGAGAAATATAGGAACTATAAAGAGAGAAACTGATAGAAATTAGACAACATGTGAAATATACACCAAAAACACACAAGACACCACACCCAACATCTGACCATCAGCAAATGAAGAGAACAAACACCCAGCAACCAAACATAAACATATGAATGTATATATAACATTAAAATCCTTGATCTCATTGTCTTTCACAGAGATAACTTGTTTGTTGTAGTACAAAAAAATTGTGTAATAGTACACCTATTAATTATTAGTTTTGCCTCTATTTTAGTAGATTTAGAATGCAATATGTTCACAGTAACTAAGCAATAATCACATTTATTTAAAATCAAGAGTTACTTTAACCCACATTTGTTAAATGTCTTCTTTATGGACCTATTTAGGCAAAGGTTTTATTAAAAAAACAGCATTTATAGCAATACCTAAATGAGCATTTCAATGTTATTTCAGATTATTTGAACCTGTTTGTTGTATGCAAAAAATTACAAAATGCTTTTTACAATGTTTTCATTTGATTATAATCAAGATATACAGTATTCCCATGTACAGATGAGGCTTCAGGTCTTAAAATGTGATGGTAAAGGACATACACACCTTTATGTTTGTTGTCATACTGTTGACAGACCAAATTATTGAGAAAAACCTGAACGTCAACTTGCTCATCTGCTTATTTTTGTTCATTTGAGTAATTATTTCATCACTCAAGGTTTTCACTAGTCTCTTTAGTTGGTTCAAAAAAGTAACTCCCTGTATCATTCATGACACATTTCAATATTCAGAGTCACCCTGATAAAGTTGTAGGCTGACAACAATAAGGACRCAATTCAATAATCTTTGCCATTTGATTGAGCTGCTGACACAAATCGTTATTTAYTACTTTCAGATGGCAGTCTTGTGCTGTATTGCTATCACTGAGCTGGTCAATATACATCACTTCGCCCCCAAAGGATTATGCCTCTTATCTGAAATGATACTGAATAAAGAAAAACCACTGAAACACAGAGTGGAGTGTTCTTGCTTGGCTTACGTTATGATAGAGGAAAAAAAAAAAGAAAATAACGCTTTATTGGAATTAAGATGCAAGTCAAGATTACCTGAAGAAACAGCAGTTAGATTTCTGTTCCAGTGCTGTGGCCTACACTTTATTCTCAGCTGCCTGGGGAGTAGACCACAGTGTGCCGTTTCCCACGAGCCACAGGGGTGTAATAGAACGCCTTTATAAAATATATAGCAATGYCCCAATGCTTTCTACAGATCATAGCATGGACTAGTGCACTCTGTGAGTCTTTCTGTGAGTATATGTGAGAGGGGGGTCTTGTGAGATGACTTTTTCTTAAAGTGTCCCACAAACCAACAAGTCGGTGACGAAGCAGAGACCCCCCCCCACCCCCCACCCCTCGTTAATAGGGGTGCGCATATCGATCCGAGTATATCCAAGTATACTATCATAACAAAGATGAGTATTGTATCAGATCAAGACTGGTGTAATGAGATCAATTATTTTGTTTGCACTTTATTTGCACTACTGACTTTACTTTTCACAAATAAACTGAAAGAATGAAGTCAGTAGTGCAGAGTTGTCAAATTGTTTTTCATTAACCTTCCACATCGATCCCATGTGCAATGGAAGATTTTTTTTGTTGTTGTATTAGTAACATCATTATATTTTTGCAACATTGTTGCTTCTTTTTTGTTACTTTCCTGTAACATTTTACTTAAACAACTGTGTGTGGCAGAAACTAATATGGAAATTATTTTATTATTTTAATACTGTTACACTGTTTTATTTTTTTGTGGTTAGTTGTTAACATTTTTATTTGCCTAAAATCTTTGTCCTGTATTTTGTCATAACTGACTGAGGCAAAACCACAAAATTATTAAATGAACGTGACAAGTATTGGGATATGTCCTATATTTTCTTGGTATCGGATCAATACCAAAATTCCTAGTATCACCATTCCCTACTTTCTAAGGTACCTTCATAGGGCTGGGCAATAAAATCATTAACAATATGTTATTGCGATAGACACGTAATCAATTTCAACAGAAATTATGTCTAACATAATGTTGATAATTTTTTAAACTCTGATCCAGAACAGCACAGCATTCTGGGGGATGTAGGCAGAGAAAAGACTTAGCCGCTCGACCTCTCATGGCCCAGCTAAGCAAGGTTGGTGGCATCAACTAACTCACTTACTCTTTGGTCAGTTAACAACAACCTGCTGAGTAACATGCACAATAGCAGTTTCATGTTTCACCACCGTACCTCAGAACTGCTTTTAAAAAATGAACAACGTGGAGTGAAAGGAGAAAATGAGTGCAACAGCTCGAGAAGAAACTGTGGACAAAAGAGGAAAGGTCACATGACCAGTTTGGCAGGATTAATCAGCCTTTTTTTCTCCTGGTCCTTTTTAATAAGTAAAACAAAAACACTGATCAACAATTATCTATATCTGAAACACTTTTCAGTCACATCCCCTGACCTACCACCATGATACTTGTTTGTCTGTGCCGTTTGTTGCAACTTCCCCATTGCCTTCCCTTTTATTTAGGATTTCTTGCAAAGCATCAGACTAAGTTGAGTGGTAGTTACTGCTTATGATGGAAAAGTAACAACAAGATTTGACTGATTCAACAGTTATTATATTTTCTAGATTTTAACCTAAATAACTTAGATACAGTAAGTACATTATAGTTTCAGTATTTACATTTTATCTGTTGACATTAAAACATGGTCTCAAGCAGAATGTTCAAACCCCAGCCCCACACTGAGTGGCATTTCTTCTTTTTTATATTATTTTGATAAAGCCTTTGGTGAGTGTGGTTAGAGCTCTTGGGCTAAAGATCTGATGAGGAGTGTGAGGTCTGTCACAGACAAACGCTCTAAGTACATTCTAATTAGCTGATGTATGCAGGACCTCATCCACATTGGAGGGGTATCAAAAAGCAATCAACGCCCCATCCCTGATGAGCTCAGAGAGACACAGAGATCCACATTGTCTATGGAAAAACGAGGTGTGGCTGGACCTCAGTTTGGCTTTCCAAACCACCATAATGCCACGCAATCACAAGACATTATGCACAGTTCTGAACCCCAAAGCCACAGGACAGAGGGGGAAAAAAGATGGAAGACTGAGTTCATCATTCAAAAGCCTGATTATGATGGCTGCTCCTTTTAAAAAGCTGGGGTGGAGAGCCAGGAGTGGGAGAATTGGCCCCACAAGTGCCACATAATACAGCTATAAATGCAGAAGAGAAACATGTTTAAAAACTGTCACGATCAAGAGCAATACAGTGGAGATAGAGGAGAAATCAGCCGAGTTGAGATGCCAACTAGTTGCCATGGAAAACTGAGAAAGATTAAGTCAGCAGAGAGTTTATGAGAAGAATTCAAGAGAGTGATTCTTCTCAGCGCAGAGAAATGGGATGAAAATACAGAATCAATCACAGCATAACTCCATGTTATCAGCATGAAATGGTTGGGGAAAAAAAGATGAATATCCTAAACATACAATCTAGAATTTTGTCACCCTTTCATAATCTAATTTGACCAGAGGCCATGAAGCTGATTCGTTTCAGTAAAGACCATAGATGTTTCAGCTGTAGGCTCCAGCGGAGGGAGGCATGTGTGTCACACAAAGACCATCGGTTAGCTTCGTACCGAAAAGGAGTCTGTATCACCATCTTATCTTCAAAGGACTGGGCAGAGGCTCAGGGGAGCTGTGCCACCGCCTCGCCTCCACACAGACTCACGCAGAGGGGGGATTTGGACCTGCAAGCAGGAACCAGAGATCCCTCGGCCAGCACCCAGGCCTGGACCCTCCTCCAACTCGCCCGCGGAGAACAGGCAGGGTTCCTGCACACGCGGCACGACATCAGTGAGCTGATCCCCCACCGCCA